TGCCCAGGTGGGTCTTGAACCCACGGGCTCATGCAATCCACTCACCTCAGCCTCCCAAAGTACTGGGATTACAGGCTGAGCCACCGAGCCCGGCTGAAATTTTTTTTCTTTAGTATATCTATAGAAGCCTAGATTGCTGAAAAAAGGTAGGCTGTAGAAAAAATGATGTCAGTTCTGAAAAGAATTATAATAAAAATTAGATCACTGAATATTATTTATAAACCTGACTTTATTTCAATTTTGTATTTTAATAAGGTATTACTGATGGCTAAAATGGAATGAGATGAGCCGGGCTCGGTGGCTCAGCCTCTAATCCCGCACCTTTGGGAGGCTGAGGTGAGTGGATTGCCTGAGCCCGCGGGTTCGAGACCCGCCTGGGCAGTGAGACCTCATCTATACAATAAATCAAAAAATCAGCCGGGCGTGTTAGCGCATGCCTGTAATTCCGGCTACTCGAAAGGCTGAGGCGGAAGGATCGCCGGAGCCCAGCAGGTCGAGGCTGCGGTGGCCGGGAGCGGCCACTGTACTCCAGTCTGGGCGACAGAGACTCCAACTCAAAAAAAAAAAAAAATGGAAAGAGATGGTATATTTTAAGTACTGCAAGGGGGGAAAAAAACCCCTCCAAAACATAGCAAAAAAAAATTAGACTTAGCGTGTGTAGGCTAAATCCATAGGATTTCTACTGATAGATGCATTGTCCTGAAACTCTTCATTAAAAAAATAATGGATTGAAGAAAAAAGAAAAAGTGGCACCATGGAAACTCAATCAAGCAGACTGAGGTCTTCAAGGTCTGAGGAAGAAAGGCAATAAATAGAAAAAATGATGGTCTCTGAAAAAGAACATGAAGTACACATTCCTGAAGGCACCAAAGGATCACTTGTTCCTCATGAAAGGGGACTGGATAGATCAATTGAGGCAGAGACTTGCACTGCAAAGCTCTGTGTCTCCATAGTGCATATTTCATTCCCATCATGACTGATGATTGGATGACATTTGAGAGGGAGAACATTCTGTTTTTCATGAAATCACTTTTCTTTGATAGAGGAACATATATATGTTACAATCCTTACAGAAAAGTGGAGGGGAATGACCTTAAGAGAAACAATAAAGATCTTTTCTTTGACATATAAACAAGAAGAAGACAGTAATTTTCTTAAAATATATTTAATGATACAGAATGGAATGGACAATTAATTAGGATTCCGAGTTTTATTTTTTAAAGAAATCACATCATTATTTAGTTTTTATGTGTGGCAAAAATACTCTACCTGGAAGAAAAGATGTGGAGAGCATAACTTCAGAAAAAACAAAGGCTAACCTTACAACATTTTGTGTGTGTGAGTGTGCGTGTGTGTGGGGGGGTGCATGAGTGACTACTGTGTTGATATCTGCGAGTGATAGATAGCTGCAGGAATGGCAGTAGCTAGAACATCTCCGGTGTTCTAAAAGCATGGGGAATTATTTTAAGTTAAGAGGTAACAAAAGTTTCTTTTTAATTCTGATTTTAAAAAATGCTTCCCTGAGCATTCCTTACCTTTTGCCGAGGGGCAGCAGATTTATGATCAGTTTTTGCTGTTTGTGGTTTTGACAGAATGGATAGTGTCTTCATGTTGTACTCCTTAACTTGTTTTGCATATTCCTTTTGCTGTATTAATTTTTGCGTCTGTTCAGAGAAACAAAATTCTGATGAGTCACAGGTCCTACTGGCTTTCCCTGCTCTCTATTTCAAGTGATGTTAGTTTTAGTGAACTGAACATGTGGTATCAGCAGCATGGGAGAAATGGGACTACCTTGCATAAGGTGGCAGCAGTGAAATGGTTAAGTTAATGTTTCTCCTGGAAGCAATCTCTCTCTGAGGAGGAACATCACTGCAATAGCATGCTCAGTGTTTCCTTAACGGTGGCTAAATCACATTCAGCCTCTTCTTTGTTGCATTTACCCAATTTATTTTCATTTTTGCTTCCAACTTTGAACTATACTCTCTTTTTATGCCTTGAGTGCAACTGCAGTTAAAACACATTAAATGAAGATCTCCTTTCACTAGAGGAAAGAGAATGAAGTGGATGCACTTTCCAGGGGTTAGGAAACTCTTACCCTAAGTGTCTTCTCTGTAGCCACTCTTCAGAAAGGTCAAGATAACTCTATTGAGAAAGACCAACATCCACATAACCTACACAACTCTTCATGTGCACGCATCCCACTTTTCTGGGCAGGCCTTCAGAGTGAATGGAACAGCAGATACATATGACAACACGGGTTAAGTATTCTTATGCTAGGGGACAAGGAAGATCTGGGTCTCTATTACCAACATTAGTTCAGAAGGATCTCTATTCAGAATGAGGCATTTGAATTAGGGCTCAATTCTGGGGAGCATCTTCATATAGTTTGGCTGAAAGAAAGATGGGCCCAGCCAAGCCTGGAAGCGATGTGCTTATGTGTGTCTTACTCACCTTTTCTCTGATGGACTCAAAGTCAGGGCTGAGGCCTCCGAGTTTCGCGGCTCTTTTCTGATAACCTTTCAGCTTGGAACTCTAAACATACAACCACAGAAATAGTTTCTTTGGAGGACTTGTGTGGCCCTCCCACCTGGCACCCACAAGCTGTCACAGCCACATAAGGTAAGAAGGAAAATGAAGGATAGAAGCCTTTGTGCACTGTAAGAGAATGGGTGCATTTCCTGACAATTCTTCCATTTTAATAGTAGTTATTGATAATAATCTCTTTGGTAATTTGTAGCTGGTTAGATAATATGTTTTGACTTTTTTCAGTTCTGCAACAAAGAAAATTGAAATTCTGAAATTATAAATCAAAAATTTCAAGCTAGTGATGTGCTGTTTTGTCATAAATATTTTAAACACCACAAATAGTCTCGGACCGTTCGCTGAACCAAATGTCTTCCCTGGAAGAAGCAATCTAAATGCATCACATAAGCACATCGCTTCAAAAAGACAGTATCCTGATCGGTTATAGCATAGCACTGTCCGTCAGAGACATTCCAGAAGAGAAACAAAGAAGGTAGAAACCTTTAAATTTTTGTTATTGATTGTTGAGGAAAAAAGAAAAATTTTAAAGGAAAAACAGTTATAATCTGTCTGTCATATTCAAAAGAAAGTAAGCATTTAAGAGTCTTGCAAAGATCCACTAAGAAGCTCATTTTGTTCAGTAAGTGTGATTTTCGATAGTTTGAAGGGCACACATGCACACATGATGACTATTATTGGTATTACACATTTAAAAGGACAATAAGAGAGTGAAGCAATTTAATTATTAGATTATGACACTTGAGGACAAGAAGAAGCAGGAAAAACCCTAATGTTCTCCTGACCATAGGACAGATTAAGATATTTCTCAAACTGCTGGTTCAAAATTAAAACTGAAACTGGGTGTGGTGGCTCACGCCTGTAATCTCCGCACTTCGGGAGGCAGAGGTGAGAGAACTGCCTGAGCCCAGGAGTTTGAGACCAGCATGGGTAACTTGGAGAGACATGTCTCTACAATAAAATAAAAAAATTAGCTGGGTGTAGTGGTGCACACCTGTAGTTCCAGCTACTTGGAAGGCTGAGGCGGAAGGATTGCTGGAGCATCGCAGGTCGAGGCTGTGGTAGCTGGGACTGTGCCACTGCACTCCAGCCTGGGTGACAGAGTGAGATTCTGACTCAAAAAAAAGAGAGAGATGGTTTGGATAGCGATAATTACCTTAGGGCACATCTAAGTTTGTGCTTCATATGGAGAATAATTAGCCATATTGAAGAGCAGCTGTGGCGACTAACTGTGGATGATATTCCCCGTCTATATGTTAATGAGAATGCATAGGATTTTTATATTTTTTACTTATTTATCTATTGTTTTACGAGATGGAGTCTTTCACTGTGTCATGCAGGCTGAAGTGCAGTGCTGCAATCACAGCTCACTGTAACCTCAAACTCTCAGGCTCATGTGATTCTCCTACCTCGGCTTCCCAAGCAGCTAGAACTACAGGGTTGTGCCACCGTGCCCAGCTAATTTTTTAATTTTTGTAGAGACAGGATCTCCCTAGGTTACCTGGGCTGGTCTTGAACTCCTGCTTCAAATGATCCTCTCATCTTGGCCTCCCAAAGTGTGAGCCACTATGCCCAGCTGATTTTTATAAATTTTGAAAGCTAATTATTGTCTTAAAATACACTATACATCTAATTTGCCCTTTTCCAAGACAGAATTTAGCAGAGATAGTCCAACGACTTAAAATAGGGTGTTACTAGGTATAATTACTGCAGATAACTATTCAATCTTAAAAACGAACACATATATATGATTGTACCAACCACTAAAAGAATATGTCCTATTCAGAGTGGTCTACTGACTACTCAGAGTCATCCAAATTAACTTGTCCACTGCCACCTCCCACTGTAGATGTTCGAAAGTCAATACTTCCCAGCACTGAGCTCTGTGCATGAGGTCCTAGTGAAAGTTGGCTGGGGTGGAGGGTGTGTCTTGGAAAGTTTTCACTCAGGCTGGTATGGTCCCTCTCCCTTCCCTTTTTTCTTTTCTTTTTTTGGTTTTGTTTTTTGAGTCGGAGCCTCACTCTGTTGCCCAGGCTGGAATGCAGTGGCACCACCATGGCTCACTGCAGCCTCTACCTCCTGGGTTCAGGTAATCCCAGCTACAGCCTCCCAGTATCTGGGACTACAGGCATGTGCCACCACACTGGGCTACATTTTGTAATTTTGTGTAGAGATGAGGTCTTGTTATGCTGCCAGGCTGGTCTCAAACTCCTGGGCTCAAGCAATCCTCCTGCCTTGGCCCCAAAGTGCTGAAATTACAGGCAGGAGCCACTTTTATCCTGCTTTGACTGAGGATGTGATCTTGGAGCTGGAGCTGCAGCAGCAATGTTGCAGACAGGAAAGGACAAGAGAATCATACAAATATTGGTTCTGATGTTCCAAGCTGTGGAACCACAGTGCTAGCAACTGCCTACTTGTGGATTAATTGCATGTATAAAAAATTAACCCGTGCCGGGTGCGGTGGCTCACGCCTATAATCCCAGTACTTTGGGAGGCCGAGGTGAGAGGACTGCCTAAGCCCACGGATTCGAGATCAGTCTGGGCAACTTGGCAAGACCTCATCTCTACAAAAAAAAAAAATTAGCCGTGCATGGTGGCCTGTGCTTGCAGTTCCAGCTATTTGGAAGGCTGAGGCGGAAGGATAGCCTGAGCCCAGCAGGTCAAGGCCATGGTGGCCGGGAGGGTGCCACTGCCCTCCAGCCTGGATGACAGAGTGAGACTCCAACTCAAACAAAACAAAACAAAACCGGTATTTCAGAAATCACTGTAAAGGATAATTGAGTTACTTGCCCACTAACGGCAGTATTTCTAACATCTCAGTTCTTTTTTTTTTCACTTTTAAAAATTTTCTTTTGTTTTTACATCTCAGTTCTTAAGCATCATAATTCAGAAGGGACAACACAATATGCCACATAGGCAACACTTCTCTTCTGCAAGGACTAAAAGTTCCATAAAGAGAAACGGGCCTAATTATGTTCAGTACTCTAATTCTAATTCTAAAAAGTGAAAGAAGATTCTTGCTTAAATTCTTTACACTAAAATCATCAAATAATCAATAACATTAAAGCCTATAGGAGACACATTGTTTATTGAAGGGCATTTCAAAATCATAAATCTCCTTTAAGAAAACAGAAGCCATCACGTGGCAAAACCACTATAGCCGCTTCTTGTCCATTATTCTGTCTGTTCATACTTTTATAAAATTTGTCCATTCACTAAAAATTATCTTTTTTTAACTCAGCATTTTAGCATTACACTGTAATTATTTCCCTGTCACTAAATGTTTTTATACAATGTGATTTTATGTATAACAGTCTATTGTTCAGTTATAGTTGGATTGTTAGCTGTTCCTCTAAATGTTGCACATTTAAGATGTCCTGGGGTGAGCATTGTTTGTGGGCTTCTCTGATTATTTCTTTGAGATAAGTTAATAGCAGTAGAATTATTGAGACAAAATGCACATGTTCAAGGCCATCAATTAACACTTTCATTAGCAATGCAGCAACAAGATTGCTCTTTTTGTCCAAACCTTGATTACACTGGGTATTATCACATTTTAAAGCCTTTACTAATTTTCGCTTGGTGAATGAACTCAGCTAACTTATACTTTGCAATTGCAAATTTGTTTTTTCTCTCACGTATGCCATCTGTATCATTGTTTTGCAATCACCAAATTACTATCTATTTGCTCAAATAAACCAATAATGAAAAGGAAGGAGGAAAAAAAAAACCTGCTCATATCCAAGCCATAAATCCAATTTGTCCAAAGATGATGAGAAAGAAATGATCAGTGCCTGCAAATCACAGCCTTAGTCTGAAGCAGCTTAAGTTCTAATCATTCCACTGACTCACAAAAGACACATTGTGAAGCATGAATAATTGCCCACAGCTCTCCAGCCACAGGCTTACTATCACCTTCAATAAACATCTTGGCTATCCCAGAAAAACAGAGCCCAGGGTCTGCATTGACATGAAGGGTATGGCCCCAAGGGGCCATCTCCAAATGCTGCTGATCCCTTTACAGGATGAGGTGCTTGCAGCAAAGGGACATTTCTCAGGGGAGTGATGGCTCCTAACGGAGTTTGTTCTGGGTGACTGGCAATGAAAAATCCTAGATTTACTGAAGTTGGAGCAAGTAATCTTGATTTGTTCTCAGCATCGCAATTTTGTTTGATCTTTCTCCATCAAAAGACTTGTTAGCAGCTTTATTGAGATATAAGTCACACACCACAAAATTCACCCATTTGGCGTTGTACAATTCAGTGGTTTTTAGTATATTCATTCAGTTGTGTAAACTTCACCATAATCCAATTTTGGAACATTTTCATCACCCTAAAAAGAAACCCCCAGACCCATTAGCAGCACTCCCTTTTCTCTTCTACCTCCAGCCCTAGGTGACCACTAATCTACTTTCTGATTCTTCAAAAGTCTTTTATTGTAAAATAATCCCCAGAATTTGCTTTGATTTACCTCTCCTTGGCTGTTACAAGAATAAAAGGTCACAATAGCACAATACCAAAAAAAAAAAAAAAAAAGGTAAATCAACATTGCTAGTCTTGTTAAGTCTCCAAACACGGGAGGAATAAATTCAAAAATACAGACACGCTCTCGACAAATCCCTAATGGGATTCGCTGCTAGTCTTTGCTTAAGACGCACATGAGCTGTCACGGCCAAACCCTGCACTCTCTGAGGATTGCTGAGACCAGGCCAGCCTCTCTGCGCTGATGGAAGGTTTGTACCAGTAATTAATCACAATTGTTCTCAAGCCAGAAGAGTTTTTTTTATTGTAAACTTGGGACACAGTGTGGCTGAATGGGAAATGACATTGACTGTTCCATGAGGACTTGTTTCAACTCTGAAAGGTTATACCCTGCTGGGGGGAGCACTGCAGAGCTATTCTCCTGAAAATTCCTCAGATGTGTAAGTGTGAGAAAGTTACCAAAAAACACGACAAAAAACAATGTTCAAATACTGGGGAACAGCAAGTGAAGGAAATTTGCTCTGCAGTTGCTAAAGTTAATCCAAATAAACCCCTTCTTAGAAGCAGTCAAGCAGCAATGCCCAGATTGTCTATGACAACAAACACATGAGTTAATTACTTCAGCTCAACACTGTCAGTTGTCAGAGAACTCCTTAAGCAGTTATTTTGTGGTGAGTTGCGACAGATATTTTTATACCATTTGTCATCCCTCGCACTATGTTAATCTCTTACTGCCTGACGTCTGGATTTCATGGCATGAACAATGCGTGGTATTCATAAATCAGTCACAACAGAACTGCCAGGAGAAGAGGAAGGGTGCTTGGGCCTATTATCTTTACAAATCCTCAAATTTTTAATGTGATTCAGGGCGATTCCCTTGGAAACCACGAGATTTGATGTGACTAGCAAATGGGCATGACCTGGATAATGACTCCCTCTGTCTGGTGCCCGGGCTACCTGCTGTCCTATACAAATAGCTCACTTCTAAGTCATTTTAGCTTCTGGACTAGCTTAAAAGACAAAGCGCTTCTGTGTATTTGTCAGAGGTAGGTTGAAGGGGGTAGACTGAGAAAATTGATATGTATGGATTGTAATGTTCCTGATGGAAAGCAGGAAGAAAAAGATGTTCCCAGCTGGAAAGAGGGTTAGGAAAGCAGCAACCGGAAATTCTCCTTCCTCATCCCTGCCCTCCCATGTTCTTAGCTTTCTGGTGATACACACTGTCATCAGGGTATTTTCCCAGTAAAACATTAATTCCAAGAACTACGAGAAGGGGATGTAAAAGGAAACTAACATTTAGTGGATGTCTATTTTTTGTTAGGAACTAAGCTAAGATTTTAATACATTATTTCACTTAATATCACAACAAATCTACAAAAAGAATTCTGATTGTGCATATGAGATGATAGGGGCTCGGGGCATTGATAACTTGCTCAAGTTGCAGAGATATGAGGTGACAGAGCAGAGAGGAGAACTCAGAAATGACTGAATCCACGACTCCCATTACCCGCTGCTGGCTGAGCAGTGCATTTAAAAGCTTGCATTCTCAACAACAATCCCAGGTTGGCAAGAACCCTAACCTGGAAGGTTCTCTTTCGAGGTAGTTTGTTTGAGCTTTTTACAGGCCCTGGTAATCCATATGCTCCAAAGTGAATAGGCTGTCCTCACCTTGAGAATGTGTTGGTTCCAAAGCTCTGAATACAGGTTCCTATAGAAAGAATAACATACCCAGCTTCCTTAGTCTAGTCAGCAAAACCTATTTATGAAGTACTTGAAAACAGTATGAGTAGCCCTTAGAATCTAACTGCCATGTAATGATGCTTCTGCAGAAAAAGAAGTTACCTGTGATTTAAGAAACACATTTCTCTTTACTTATAGTGGAATCAGGAATTCTCCCAGGTCCAAGTCACTAACGGTAGTTTCCATAGCCAGCACAGGGGTTAGGGGCCCCAGCAGAAGGAAGTATATGAGGGTGTGAAGTTAGAATGAGGAGTTCAAAGAGCCCTCAGGTGGGGGAACATGAAGGAGCTGGGGCAAGGACTCCAGGTTTGTGAGTGAGTAGAAGACCTGGCGTACACAGATGGGTTCAGTATGGGGGCTGTGGGAGCGGGCTGGGATCATATCTCAACCCTGAGCCATCCTGCCTTTTTTCTCTTTAGTATCGCTCGCTGCCTATTCCAGGTCAGCTTCCCCTTCTCTTTGAGGCCACTCCTTATCTTTTTCTCTAAAGGCCCCACTTGAGGATCCACTGACTTCATAATCCCATAACTTCCTGGAATGTCTTGCATCTGCCCTGCAAGCCGTAGCCAGAGCGGTCTTTCTAAAATATAAATCTGACCATGTTTGAAATTCTTCAATGTCCCCCTCTGGCCTATAGAATAAAGCACTTCTTCTCTGACTAGAAAACAAGGTCCCCTCAGACCTAGCCTCCACCTACCTCTCCGTCTGCATCTCTCCACACCCCATGCCTCCCAGATGCAGTCACAGTTCCTTCCCAGCATGCATCAGCATTTTTACTCATGCTGGGCCCTTGCCTGAAACACTCTTTCGGTCTTTTTTCTCTGCCAACTCTCGACCATCCTCGAAAACGGTTCAGAACTATCTCCTGAAGTATTGTTTGACCCTAGGTGGAGATATGAGTCCCCCTTTATGTTCCTTTTTGTTCCTCAAGCATCCCTAAAGTGTATGTATATGTTTTGCTAGCAGCATTATACTGCAACATGAAAGCAATTTACAGGTCTGTCTTCCCTAGTTCATGTAACTATAAGTTTCTGAGGAAGGGTCATAGCTCATTCATCAGCACCTGCCAAGTTCCTAGAACTCAGTGAATAGACAGAATTGAACTAAGTAAGGATTCTGCTTAATTCCCTCCAACCTGCCCTAAAGTGGATGCCCTTTCCCCCAGCTGCTGGGAATGTTGTCTGCTGATGGCATACAGTTGAGTCCCTCCCTAAGAATTGCTCTTAGTCAAATGGAGCTGCTATGCCCAATGTCACCAGCCTTCCCCAGGGCAGTTACTACCCAATGGCTAGTCAGTGTTGGGGAGCCAAAGCCTGGTTGCCTTGTCATTGAAGGGCCATCCCAACTCCAGAACCCTCGGACCCTTGGCTAAGGTTCGGCTGCGCCTGCATCACCACCATGTTTCCCCTGTGCCCAGCCCAGACCTTCCTCACTCCCTAACAGGGAAGGTTTCCCAGGGTACTCCTCAACCGCTCTCCTGCACACAAATCGCCATTTCAGAGTCTGTTCCTTGAAAACCCAACTCACCACAGCCCTATTGCTTTCAGCCAGGACCTTCCCTGTTGTGGCCCTATACTGCATTTTCCACCTTTTTTCTTCCTAGTTCACACCAAAAGCATGTGATCTTTCCTAGGGGTTTTTATCACTTGTGACAGTGAAGTACACAAGATATAAGAAGTTTCCTTCCCATGCTCTTTCATTTCTTCCTGAAAACATTCTACTTTGGGGCCACCAATTTTTACTTATTAAATCATACAGGCCCTATAAGAAACAATTTAAGTGCACAAAGGTTCTAGTAATGGTGGATCTTATTAGACACAAAGAACTCAGTAAAGATCAGCCAATATTTCACAGGAAAGCTGTCACTGACTACCTAGGCATTTTACTGTGGAAGCCTGTGTGAGATTGGGGCTGAAGAGTTCTCGAAGAGGGTAAGGAAACCATGGTAGATGGTGGGGGAAATATGGTGGCCACAGGGGCTTTCATTCATTCAATCCTAGTTTCTCTGCTTTTTAAGATATGAGAATGTACTGGGGAGACTCAGGGTAGAATAGGGGTGGAGTGATGTGTGGAAGCTTTTCTGAGGAAGTGATGTTTAAGCTGCAGATGAAAGGAGGATTATTGTCTCTCTGCAAATGTAGACTTCCGAGATGACTCGAGAAGGAGGTAGAAATGGGCATCCTTAGCAGCAACAACTTTTAGAAAGGGGGAAGGAGGCCGGTCACAGTGGCTCAGCCTGTAATCCCAGCACTTTGGGAGGCCGAGGCGAGAGAACTGCCTGAGCCCGGGGATTTGAGACCAGCCTGGTCACCTTGGTGAGACCTCGTCTCTACAATAAATCACAAAAACTAGCCGGGTGTGGTGGCATGCGTCTGTAGTTCCAGCTACTTGGAAAGTTGAGGCGGAAGGATCGCCTGAGTCCAGCAGGTCAAGGCTTCGGTGGCTGTGAAAGTGCCACTGCACTCCAGCTTGGGCGACAGAGTAAGACTCCAACTCAAAAAAAAAAAAAAGTGGGGAGGGGAGGGAAATTCCAGGGCGCAGCAGGGGCTGAAGTAAAGAAGTTCCTTAGGATTCTGGGCTACTCAGTCGCAGTGGCAGCTCAGTAACGACCATCCCTATTCCAGGGTTATGATTAGGGGAATGAATGTCAAGGTCCATCTGTATGATCCAAATTTAAAGTTTACTTGGTAAAATGGCACTTTTCTTACCTTAATGCTGCTGCTTTTCCTATGCTTTTTTCCTTTCTCCAGCTGAAACAGATAGCCTTCGGAATTGCTACGACTCATTTTCAGTTGGTTTCTTTGGCTTCTCTCTGAACTGAGTTGGGATTCACTTTCTACCCTGGACAATATGGGTGGAAGTGTGACTCTGGGTGAGGCCCCTTTGCTGGGTTGTACCTCGGTCAGTTGCACTAAGGCTTGTTGATGCTGTTCCATTATCTGTGTAAGCCGCGTATCTGGAGAGGCGCTAATGGGCTGGCTGTCAGAGGAAGAATGGAATTTCCTTAATGAAAAAGAAACAAACACAAATCTATTAATAAAATCTCAGTACATAAGACCTCTAGCATAAAAGTTTTTGTGAACCATTAATTTGGTGTATTTATCACTCCAAATCAAATCAATACCTTTTATTTAACTTAATCTTTTTATGAATACATTAGCTTCTAAAATCCTCTCTCTCTTTGTCTAGGATGTTCTAGCTCTCATTTAGAACTTTTAGTTAGGGCATTTACAATAGAAAAAAAACATGATTTTGAAAAGCCAAACATTTTCCTACTACAAAATACCTAGAAATGTTGGATTAGATTAAATAAACATCTTTAAGATACATAGTTGACTTGTAAGAGAGGTAGGAATCTCCAAGGACCAAAGCCAAAAAAGAAACTAAAACCAAAGCAGATTTTGAATTATCTGAATCTATGGCTTTCTTTGTGGGAGTTTTAGGTCTAAGGACTTGAGTTTTAACAGTCAACACTGGTACAGGATGTATAAGATCTTGGCGCCACGTGAGGCAGGGAATCAGAACTGAGATTCCTGCAGATCCCTGGATAAACACTGTAACCCTTGAAGGGCTATATCCTCAATAAAATGGTGGGTCAATTAAAAATGCATTTACCAGCCTTAAGAAAAAATAAAGCAAGCTTATCTCTCTTGGTCTACGTTCTGAATAGAAAAAACAAAACAAGCATAATCAACATTTATATACCTAACCCTGAATTGTACCCCACATCTTTATAATAAAAAAAGAAAAGAAAAAAAAAACAAACACCTCCTGTAAATTTTTATGGGATAATATTTGGGGTTCAAATTTACCTTACCCATATAACCATGGAAATCTAACACCAAGAAATTGACATGAAAATGATCTGGATGAGCGATACTTCTGTTGGGTAACATTGAGCACTAGTCATGGCAGCATGCATTCTGAAAGGAAGGGTGGCACAAGACAGCAGATGCTGACAGCCACCTGTAGTTCTGTCCTCTGCCATTAGATAATGATTTATTTATTTATTTATTTACTTGAGTTGGAGTCTCACTCTGTCACCCAGGCTGGGGTGCAGTGGCATGCTCACTGCCACTGTAGCCTCAGCCTGCTGGGCTCAGGTGATCCTTCCTCCTTGGCCTTCCAAGTAGTTGGAACTATAGGCATGTGCCACTGTGCCTGGCTAATTTTTTGATTTATTGTAGAGATGAGGTCTCACCAAGTTGCACAGACTGGTCTTGAACCCGTGGGCTCAGGCAATCCTCTCACCTCGGCCTCCCAAAGTACTGGGATTATAGGCATGAGCCACTGCACCCAACCTACAAAATTTTAAAAAATAGTGGTTCACTCCAAGAATCCTAGCACTTTGGGAGGCAGAAACGAGAGAATTGCCTGAGCCTAGGAGTTCAAGACCAGCTTGGGAAACATAGCAAGACTTCATCTCTACAAAAACTAAAACTATTAGCGGGATGGTGGTGCACATCTGTAGTCCCAGCTACTTGAGAGGTTGAGAGGGAAGGATCGCCTGGATCCAGGAGGTTGAGGCTGCTGTGAGCTGTGATGGTGCTACTGCACTCCAGCAAGGGCAATAGCGTGAGCCCTACCTCAAAACAAACAGACAAATAAAATGTCCCAGAGGATGTAAAGAGAGGAAATAGTCCTTAATTCATTTTATAAGGCTAGTATAATCTTGATAACACATCCGGACAAAGCCAGTGACAGATAGGATAATCATAAGCCAATTTTGCTTCATGTATATGAATGTTAAATCTCATAAACAAGCCGGGCTTGGTGGCTCAGCCTGTAATCCCGCGCCTTTGGGAGGCTGAGGTGAGTGGATTGCCTGACTGC